ACACTGGACCTTTAAATTAAATGGCAACAAACAGTTTGTAGTTACTGTGATCTATGGCTTTTGTCATAGGAAGGAGCCGGAAGAATAGAGCAAATGAAGATGCATTTATTTTCACTGTGACGATTTAACATTTTAATTGACATAATTTTTCTATTATGGTCATCCAGTTTCCTTCCTATAAGTTGAGACTTAGAGAAGGGAATGATGAGTTATGTAACGTCTTGTTGAATTGCCCTTGAGTTGTTTTCCAGCTGAAGTTGGCATGGAGATGCGCCTGTCAAGTGGGCACAGATGGTCTGTTGGGACATCTAATGTACCACTGAAACTAGATCCATAATAAAACAAAGGCACCACTCAAGGGAAGAAAGGCAATTGCATGCCTTCTTTTCTTGATGTATATCACAGCTAATTGAAACTAACAAGAGGAAGGAAAATACTTGTGTTTCTATTTCCTTTTAATTTCAAGGATACAGTTCTTGGTTTCATAGCACCAACTATTCAAATAACTGAAGTGTTCTCAAACAAGACATGCGTGCATGCAGTTGACTCGTGCCCAAGTAGCACTTAGGAGGACTGTTGACCTATTGCACATTTTTTCATTCCCAAGAGGGGTACGGCAGTTTCATTGTGTTGTATATTGTGTTTCAAGCCATAAGACATTTCTGTTTACTAGCTAGTTAAAGGAAATATCCCCCCCCCCCCAGAACTCTAGTGCACTATTGTACCCTCCATTTCTAGATTCATTTTGGTTTTGAGTTTGTCTGCTATCACCATCATTATTGCTTTCTCTGTGTACACATAATAAACTGCCAGCAAGCAAGCTTGTTTGTAGGGTTTTGATGAAAGGCATCACTGTAAATTGAAGAAGCAGGGTAATAATAAAAAGTAACTATGACAAAAACAATTCTGCACAAAATCACTCCAGTAATGCACAGGACATCACATTGTTGTTAATAAAAGTATCAGAGTTTGAAAGTAGTCAATAAAGAAATCCATGCCCAAAATGTCTGTAGGACATAATCGAAGTACGCAGAAAGAATACATAAGGCGGAGGCTTATTTTGCCAAAGTACAGACACACAGCTGTTTTATTAAAGCAAATAGCTAGTTAAATGATATGCAACTCTTTTCCAAATATATATAAATATCTCATTTGGTAATGAAACTCTGCAGCACTTCCTTTATTCTCATACTGATGGCCTGTGGATAGAGACGGAAACTAAAATATTTACAGGCTCTCTGTCACCTTTAGACCACCAGTGTCACTAATGCCAAGGTCTCAGTGGGGAATCTGTTGCTGAGGTGAGACTAATTGGTTAGAAACTGTCTCACTAACAAAGATTAGAAATGCTGAAGGTGAAGCACAAATGAACAACTGTTCCGTTTCTTTAGGTCTGTCATGTCACACAATATCTACATTTAACTGCATTCAGACACAGATTTATTATTGCACAGTTTGACATTTATAGAAACACACATTCCTGTCAGCAACTTCACTGGAGCAGTTGATAATTGAGTGTCTAAATCTTTGTTTCCAGTTCACTTTCCACACCCACATTGACCCAGCCAAACTATGGATTAAAACAGGGAATCTTCTTTCACAAGCCAACTTATATAACTTAGAGCTCAGTTCAGATTAGCGACTTGCAGCAGGCGCTTTCTTGTTGCCATCCAGATTTCATGATTTTCCTCCAGTTGCTTTGAAAGACAGCATGCTCCGGTGATGGACATTAATGTAATGAGTTCCAACATTTTGATTTGCAAACCCCCAAGAATTTTCCAAGCACATCTGATATTCAGTGGCTAACGGATCTTACCAATGAAAGCAAGAAGGATCACGAAAGAGGAAATGACAGCACCAAATTATCAAATCAGATCAGCTGACTAGTACTACAGCAAGCCGTAAAACATACAGCAACATACAACAGAACTTTTAGTGTTGTAAAACCAATTGGGCTATTATTAATTTTTCAATTAATCTGTTGGTCTTCTTAAAAGTCTAGTGTGTAACATTGAGGAGGATCTATTGGCAGAAATGGAAATAATATTCATAGTTGTGTTTTCATTAGTGTATAATCACCTGACAATAAGAATCATTGTGTTTTCCTTACCTTAGAATGATCTGTTTTTATCTGCAGAGGGAGCGGGTCCTCTTTCATGGTGTTGCTATGTTTAAGGTTTCTTCAGTAGCCCAGAAGTAGTTCCTACAAGCTTGCAAGGCTGAGCTGTATTCAAAAATTGCAATCTGCAACTTCAGTGTCACTGAATGCTACATACTGGCCCAGAATCAGAAATGGCCTTGAGCCCAGTGCCATGGCCCCCTGGGACCAGCCTGCATCCACAGCAGCTTGGCTGTCTGGTGGAATGGGGTCCTGTAGGTCACCTGAATGATGATGGACATTTATTTATACCATTGTGTTTTTTGTTGCAGGTTTCGAGAGAGGGAAGGAGGACCTCTTGCCTCTGCCTTTAAAAGAGGACTCACATTCCATATCTAAGAGCAAGGTAAGAAAAATCACTATTGATGTACAGTTGTTGGGCAGGGACAATTGGGTTCGTGTTCTAATGAGACTAGAGAATATGGGAAATGTCGTGTATCCTCTTCCCAGTCTCTCCTCAGGCTGTGATATATTTTTCCTTGAGATGACTCACACATCATATACACTGAACACATCAAACATTTATCAACTAAAATTCAAACGCCGCTGTTCTTTCCAATGATCTCAGTGTGGAGGAGGCCCGTCTAATTTATCTGTCGAGGTCCACATCAAATATGTTTGTCAGTGCAAACGTGGCTGAGTCTTCCTCTGAGTCACGGCAGAGGCGCTTTCATCAGACTGAAATCCTATTACATTTTTGTTATGATTTTGTAGTATGAAGACCTATAATAAGACAAGATAATCATTTCAGAGGTTCAAAAGCTTTTATCAGCAGGGCTTCCCAAAACCAGATTTTTATGACTCCTTATCTGTGGACTGTTCAGATTCTGCTATCAGCAACATCCGCCATCTTAGAAGAGCTATATGAAACTCTATATGGCTTTCTGAACCAAAGGATGTGAGAGAGAAGATTTTGGCTTTGATGCTTGTTATCATGTACCTTTAAACTTTGTCCAACTGTGCTTGTGGGAGTTTAAGGCCTTAAGTAGCACTGCTTTAGGATCCCCCACACATCCCCGTCGGTCTCTCCACTTTAAATCGCTCCAACTGGCTTTGTGGAGGGAGCTGGCAGAGACACACCGGCTAACTGAACTAAGTTTAGGCTGCCGGTGCATTGTAAAAAAGAACTTCTAGATGCTGTTGCAGCTCTTTCCTAATGTTGTCGTGAAAAAAACAAAATGGAATCTCCTCATTTCAGCAGACTTTGTTGTTTGTATCATTTGTGTTAATAGATTTGTCATTAAAAGGGAGCACTTTGTAGCCAAGATTACATTTAGTCATTTACTGGACGACCTCATCCAGAGCAGCTTACACAGAGTGCTGTAGCAGACCAAGCTGATGATTGTTATGCACAAATCCACACAGGAAAAGCTTAGTTATTATAACCAGACATGTTTGAGTGGTGTTTTCTCAGCTCAACACAAAAGATTAACAACTGATGGATACGTATTTAATGCTTAAAGACATTAAGTTGGGAAATAGTAGAGATGTTGATGTCTTTGGATATGAATAAGTTTTTCTCCTGTGTGTTCACAGTCTGAAACAAAGCTATACAATGGCTCAGACAAGGATGTGTCAGCGTCTGGAGGAAAGCTCACCAAGAAGGAGTCTCTCAAGGTAAGTGAGCTTAAATCAGCTTAAGTCTCCTTATATGGAGAGTGTTACAGACAGCCTAAACGCTGGTGCTTGCTCATCCCACACTGTGTTAACTTGGTGAGCCAGCATGCTTAAATTACTGTATAGAGGTTGAACTTTATGCTTCCTTCTTATTGTTCACCAATGTCATCACAGTACAGGATACATTACATTTAAAGTGGGAAATAAAATACAGCACTTTGCAGTCAGAAGGTACCAGGCGACACAGAGGAGTGTTAATTCCTCTTATTACTTCCTGCCAAATGTAATTCAGTGAGAAATATTAATATGCACAATTTGTGTGAAATTATGTCATTTGCATTGTCTGTGATCTGTGTAGGTGCAGAAGAAAAACTACAGGGAAGAAAAGAAGAGGGCAACCAAGGAGCTGCTCAGCACCATCACTGATCCCTCCGTCATCGTCATGGCCGACTGGCTAAAGGTGGGAACGTCTTCAACCCCACAGTGAACGTTTCCTTCTAATGTTGTGTATTTGTTGATTGTGCAGCATACTGTCCATTCAAAGGATATTAAGTAACTAAATGTGTATTCTAGTGTTCCGAACAACCTCTTACAAAAGCACAGTTTCTGTTTCTTGATTGTATTTTTTTCACATGATTTAATCTTATTTACAAGCATTTACAGTTTGTTTGTGTCCTCTGCATTCAAGATAGTTCAATTCTACACTCTATGTACTTACATTAAACATTAGAGAAGTTACAGGTAGATTTAAATGTGTAATCAAAAAATAGTTATTAAGTTAGAGACAGTAAACATTATGATCTGTAAATTGTTTGGCCAGTTGTTAATTTTTTTAACTTTTGCTTGTATAGAAATAGAAGTGTATATTACATGGATCTAAGGGTGCAGAAATCTGTACTATGAACATACATTGTATCTCTTTCATGGATGACTTCCCATCACACATTTTGATAAGCAAATTATTACCCAATGACATCATGCATCTTCAATCAGCATGTGACGTGATCTAGCATCTCTTTGGGACTTTTCTAGTAGACAACAACTGTCCCTGTTGTAGAGTTTTTCACTCCAAACCACATTACAGTTCAGCTGGTTGAAAATGTTTTTTCCCTCCTGGCCAAAAGAAACAAACCACTTTAGAAACAACACTTTCTATAAACCCCTCCAAACTCACTTTTTGGGCGACTTCCAATCCTAAAGTTCCTCATGTAGCATCTTCTAAAAGGCCTTAAATCTAGCATGTGTCTGTATTTGATCCAGATCCGTGGTACTCTGAAAAGCTGGACCAAGCTGTGGTGTGTGCTAAAACCAGGCGTCCTGCTCATCTATAAAACCCACAAAAACGGTCAGTGGGTGGGAACGGTGCTGCTCAACGCCTGCGAGCTCATCGAGAGGCCCTCTAAGAAGGACGGCTTCTGCTTCAAGCTCTTCCACCCCCTGGAGCAGTCCATCTGGGCCGTCAAGGTCAGAATATACCCTAAGATACAGGATTTGCAGCCAAACCAGTGACTCTCAGTATTATGGAGCATTTATGGGGAGCATTCCAGGTTGGAAAATTTGGGCATAGGAGAAATTCTTTTGGAAAATAGTAATATATCAGGGAATAGGGAATAGAGAATATCCAAAGAATATCCCAAAAAGTATCCCTTTACTTTTTTTGCACTCATTGAATTAGATAGTGATTTTAGATTACATTAACAAACAAGTAAATGAAAGATAAAGAAAAGACTCTGCTTGTAAGAGATAGAAAAGTCACTGAACCCTAGTAATTGGTGGCAGCAGCAGTAAATAGTTCTAAATGTAAAAAGGAAAGAAGTAGGGAGTGACATTTAGTTTCCTCCTCCATACACTCTTGGGCCTAATTTCATTGCAACTATATTTGAGCTTGGAAAGGTTTCTCCTAATATCTAGTTCCAACTTGATGTCATAAAACTAAAGTCGTTTTCCTCCAAATATTCTTTAATATATATATATATATATATATATATATAAAGCTCACTAAGTTATATCTCATTTTTAAATACGTACAGTCATGTGCCAGACTCTTTCTTGGCCAGGCACAGTCACTTCCTTAAGGAAATAGTCTCACACATAAATTCATGACTTGTTATATTTGGAATTTGTAACTTTTGGACAGAGTCAGGCTAGCCATTTCCCCTTGTTTCCAGTCTGTATGCTAAGCTAAGCTAACAGTCTGCTGGCTGTAGCTTCATATTTACCGTAGAATAATGTCAGTGGCATCAATCTTTTTATGTAGTGCAATGAACTTTCCAATATGTTTAACTGTTCCTTTAAATCTGCCATACATTACCTAATTTATCTTCATATTGCAATGGAAAACGTCTCTGACCTTATAACCCCATTTTTTCATAATAGACTGATTGAAGCTGAAGATTGAGAATACTGCTAGAGGTTTGTTATGCAGACGGATGAATTTGATCACTGCCTGTTTTGCTCTCCAGTGCTGAACAAAACAAAATGAACACAAACAGATCATCAGGGGGAAAATAATCTTCCTTTGTCCCCAGCAGTTAAAGCAAATAGTTAAAGTGATGTGGATGTTAACTGTATAATTAAGAGCTCATCTTTGTTTAATTCAGGCCATTTTCATATTTGGCAGCGCACATTTTCCATTTGTTCCTGTGTTTTTAACACTGTTCATTCGTCCACTCCAACTGTGATTTGGTATTCATCACTGACCTCTCGTTGCAAGTGTTTTCCCTTTTTGTTTGTGCCATGAAAAGGCTTGAATCACAATTAGCAGCCTGTCTTTTAGATTACAGCGTTCCTCCTCTCCCCATCGTCCTCTTCACTATTGAAATAAACACTTCACTCAATCAGCTTCTGTCCCCTCTGTCCCCTCTCTAATTTGCATAATGGCATACTCGGGTGTCTATATTTCCCCTGTTTGCACACATAAATTATTAAAAACTGATAAAAAAAAAACAAAAAAAACACAAACTCTGCGGCTGAAACGAGAAAATCACAAAGGCACTCGTAAAACCTCCTGAAATGAAAAGAGACAAAGATCAGAATGACTGATGGACCAATCAAGAATCAAATTTTTTTTAAAAACTACCTGAACCTTAAACACTGTGTAACATTTATTTGCTCCCTTCATTTCTTGTTGTCACCAGGGTCCTAAAGGAGAAGCAGTTGGCTCCATCACTCAGCCATTACCCAGCAGCCACCTCATCTTCCGCGCTGCCTCGGAGTCTGATGGTAAGAGACAGGCTGTCATTCACACTATGCTATGCTTGTCCAATGAGTGACACAGATAGATCCATGAATCTGCATCACATTGGTATCAGATTCATAAAGTAATATCAGTATTGGTTCAAAGCTACTTTTCCTTGCAGTATTTGGCCTTTTATGGAAGTGACATTAACCCCAATCTTTGTTATTTTAAACCAATTCATTATCTTAAAATAGGCACGTCTGAACAACCTGACCTATTTTACAGCTGCGCTCTTACACACCGATATTAGTGGGAAAATATCAGATATTCACATGGTCATCAGAAAACCACTCTAATACATCTCTGTTGTGTGGGTAGGTGTTTTCTAGGCCATTTAGACAGCCAAAATGGAACCCTGTGACTATTAAGTCACTCTGTGCGCTCTCTTGTTTGTCTCTTCTAATGTGTGTTTGAACTGGCCTTGGACAGTACCGACTAAGCAGTGTTATCTTTACATGGCTGTAATGGTTTGCCAATACAGTATATGGGGGAATGTGGAGTGCAACTAAAGTATAATGGATATAATTCATGTGAGACAGAGTACATCCAACATGGCTATCTTGCTAAACGTCCTCTCTTTGATATAATTATTTACACGCAACATGTCCTGTTTTATCAGTAGTTTTCCCAATACTTGTCATAGCTGATAAAAAAATGAATTAGTTTATTTTGGCTTCTATAGTGGGGCCAAACAGAAAAGTTTGAGAACTACTAGTATAATCAATTGATTGAGTGAATGATGAACTAGTAACTGGTTTTAGCCACATTCCATCTTGCTCCATGTCTCTGTCCATGGTGCTGAAACATCCAATCCAGTCTGTCCCTCTCTGAGTCTCTGTCCATGGTGCTGGAATCATCAACAGTGTCCAAAAGCACTTGCATCTTTTCACCCCAATGCACAGTACTTTACTTTCCTCCATTTTATTTCAGTGTATAAGTGTATATTTTATGCACTCTATATAGCCCTGAAAAATATCCATCAAAAACCTATTCTTAGAAAGTTTTTCTCATGTAGCAAGCAATCAAATTCAGCCCTTTCTGTCTTTATTATTATTGAAACACAGTTGTCCCCCTGTAATGATATAAATATCAAAATGAGAAGGATTTTAAAATGTTGCACTTCTGGAACTAATCCTGGAATAGGACCAGGGGTGATTCATGGTACAAGCACCAAAATGATGCTCAATATTAAAAGAAGGATAATGAACAAACAGCGAAGCCTGAAAATATATGCTGCACATCAGTAGGTTTTTTCTGATCAGTCTAACTTTCCTTCCCAGGCCGATGCTGGATGGACGCCTTAGAGCTGGCCTTGAAGTGCTCCAGCCTGCTGAAGAGAACCATGATTCGCGAGGGGAAAGAGGACATGAGCACAGTAGGCACTGGCGGAGAACACTCCATTAATTTCTACAGCCTCCTCCGAGCCCACAACATCCATGGTTTCCAGTGAGTAGGAAATAAAACCCAAGCTACTGCAACTATATTATCGCCCCTCAAATGTACCTTTATTTATTGCTAACATCTTCCTCACTATCCATCCTTCCTCCAGGTTTAATGACAGCGACCATTTGAAAGACCCAGACCTGTACTCAGACAAGTCAGACAGGGAGGGTGAACAGGACCACGAGGAGTCAGACCCAGAAGGCATGGAGAAGAGCGAGGAGAGCGACAGCGACACGTCAGAGCGCCAAGATGACTCATACATTGACCTGGACCCGAATGAACACGTGCGGGAAACCCCGTACCTGGAACAGTCTCACGAGGAACTTGGAGAGGTAGGAGACAAAGAGTCTACTGTTGTCAAACAGAGTTTTTAATTAAAAAAAGTTTCACCATATTTTCAAAGGATTTGTAGAAATCATTTTAATCTTTAGCTTGAATTAAAACTTCAGCTGAAAGAATTTTTCTTTTTGCGTAATGAGGAGAAATGAGCATGTTCCTCTGTGGGGCTATTGGGGAGGCTGTAACATGGACAGGCTTTGATCACAGTCTGTGTGGGTTGGTGTGCGTGGGCATCTGCAAGACACTGTGATGGTGTCAAAGCACTTGTAAGCATTTCTATTCTAATAAAATCTGAGTTTGACAGCTCACTAATTAAACACCTACTCAGGCTGAGGCAAAAGCTCATTAAAACCTCCTTTTGCAAACCAGTTGCACAAACAGTCACATTAAAGTGTTGAGCATGTGGCGACTCAACATGTCTGCTCTGTTGTGTGTGTCTCCTACTCCAGGCTGGCGAGGCTGCCCAGACAGAGACAGTGTCAGAGGAGAATAAATCTCTGATCTGGACTCTGCTGAAGCAGGTGCGACCTGGTATGGATCTATCCAAGGTGGTGCTGCCCACCTTCATCCTGGAGCCAAGGTCCTTTCTGGACAAACTGTCTGACTACTACTACCACGCAGACTTCCTGTCAGAGTAAGCCCTTCCCATTTTCTGTTTGCCCAAAGGCTTTTAAAATTAATCGTTTGACATTTTGGGGAACATGCTTATTTGCTTTCTTGCCGAGAGTTAAATGAGAAGGTCAGTTCCAATCATATCTTTATGCTAAATAGCTTGAGATGTACTTGAAATTAAGAAATTAAAATTGAGAAAAAACTTTAGGGGAAATAATTAATTTAAAGAAATTCACAACTGCTGGATCTCTCGAGCACCAGCATCGTAGACCAAAACAATGGCCGACCAGATTTAATTGACAGAACTAGTCATTTTAAATCGTAAAACACACTTAAAACTGTACAGAAATAAAATAAAACACACTAAAACCATCTTTGTTAGTCTTTCTTACAGTCTTTGTGCCCAATGCTGGTTTGGTCAAAATAACCTCGGGCTGCAGCGTAGCCAATCCTTGGGGACAAATGCACTTGTCAAAGTACATCCATAAAGTGCTTATTTTTAACGACTGGCTCAGATTGTTATTGTAAGTGTCTAACAACATCATGAAAAGGATCCCTACAGAGAAAGACCTTTTGTTTAACCAAAAACAGCTGTTCGCAAGACAAGAAATCACTCACCACCAGACTCCATGCACTTTGACCAGCTTTGTAAACAAATCACTATAGTAACACAGGCAAAGGGAGTGTGACATCATTCTTTGCTCAGGACACAATAATTCCACTCTGTGTTTACATATCAAATAGTTGTTTGCTGCTATATTCATGTTTTAAACTTCATAAATATAACATTTAAATAAACATTTATGAGATGATTGTTTTTGTAATTTTTCTTCTTCAGTAATGAAATATTTGGTGTTTTCTCAAGTTGTTTAGTGTTTAAAATCAGAATACATATCTGGGTCTATTTCATTACTTTAACAGTAATTCCTTGTCAATGAAATGTGCCTTTATAGTTTGAATTGATTGACTGATTGTCATATAATATGACACTGTCATTGAATGTCTTACTATCAGAGGAAAGAAAAATATACTCAGGCTGTCTTAGTTTTCAATGAAGAAGTTCTGTGGATACATCAGTGCACAACAACAAGTAGAGAAAAGCTGGGAGATATGATCAATATGTTGTAGTAGCAGATTGTACAAAGTTCAACCCACTGAGTTTAACAGCACTTGTTATGGAGGAGCATCAGTCTGTCTTTGTTTAATTCTCAGGGCTGCAATTGAAGAGAACGCCTACAACCGGATGAAGAAGGTGGTGAAGTGGTACATCTCTGGATTTTATAAAAAGCCAAAGGTCAGGAGAATAAAGTGACTTCATGTTGATGAGCTATATAACTATACATGCTTTCTATATACAGTAAGTTATACTAAACACATTTGTCCTGGTGGTTTTTAATCCAAAGGGCTTGAAGAAGCCTTACAACCCCATTATTGGAGAGATGTACCGCTGCATGTGGCTCCACCAGAAAACCAACAGCAAGACCTTCTACATCGCGGAACAGGTAACAACAGCTCTACTGCTAAGAGTACAAACTACTAGCAATCTGATTGGTCAAGAGCTCATTCCCCCTATAAAAAGTAGCTTTAGGTTTGGTCATTGGAATATCTGCAGCCAATGCTCATTGTTTTCCTTCAGTCTATATAAGTGTGTGTTTCTCTTCAGGTATCCCATCATCCTCCAGTGTCAGCTTTCTATGTCAGCAACAGGAAGGACGGATTCTGTCTCAGTGGCAGCATCCTCGCCAAGTCCAAGTTTTATGGTACACACACTCACACGACTATCAATTAATGTCACCCTCAGGAACCTTATATATGAATAAAACAGTATGCTAATGTTTATTCAGCTGTGAATTTATTATTTCTTTGCTGCTCAAGCACATCTGTCCACTGACTGCTGTTGTTTACATTCTAGGAAACTCCCTGTCGGCTATATTAGACGGCGAGGCTCGGCTCACTTTCCTCAACCGAGGAGAGGACTATGTGATGAACATGCCCTACGCTCACTGTAAAGGTCAGAGTGCAACCTGCTCTTACTTACGCCATGATCTGACTTCAGTAGAGGTTTTATGTAGCTGTAAAATTGACTGTTGAGATGTTTTAGGTGGGTAAACTCACAGAGAGAGACTGATGCGGAGGTAAAACAAATACAACTCATGCAACTTTTGTGTTGCAGCATTTCGTGTTGAAGGTTTGACACATTACTGTTGGACATCAAAAGCATTATTATCTATTTTCCATCTGCTAGGCATCCTGTATGGCACCATGACCCTGGAGCTGGGTGGTCAGATAACCATTGCGTGTGAGAAAACGGGCTACAGTGCTCAGCTTGAGTTCAAACTGAAGGTATGTCTGTGTTTTCTTGTTCGAGATAAAGCTACTTATTTAGTAGTAGTAGATAATGTCAGTCCTTAATTGATAGAGTAGGACTTTTTTTTCAGATGTTGAGTAATAAACTTCTTAAGAGAGCACTCCTCAAAGTCAGTTTCTCATATGACTTTTCTGAATGTCTCACACCGCCACCAACACCACTTCCTCTCCCACCCTGTGAAATATCCCATCCTCCATCAACTGCATTCTCCTATCATGAACTAGCAACAGGTACATGTCAGCGAAAGCAAATGGGGGAATCAATACATTTGAATTAAGATACAAATCATGATGGAGTCTCTTGATGTTAGACTTATTGTTGCAGAGGTATCTTTTTGCCTAATGTAGCTTGGTAGACAATAGTGAGTACTATTGAATGCAGTGCACCTGTTTAAACCATTAAGCTGAAGTGCTTTCATTAATTAAGTGTAATTGGAGGTTGATGGTGGTCGTTAGCTTAATTCCTTTTGTTACTTAATATGTAGTGTTACAGCACTTTTAAGCCTCATCTTCATGACTTGCTCAATCAGCCACATTTCTTTTGTATCTGAAGGGGAAAGGCTGTGCTAAACAACCCAAGCCATACGATACCATCCTATTTCACACTACACACACATAAATGACAAAACAAATCACAGTATTTCTTTCCACAGTAATCGCAGCATGTAAACTGTATGTGTGCATGTATCTCTCCCTCCTTTCCCCTTGCTTATACTTACGTCCCTTCCCTTCCTTCTCTCTTTCCCCACCCCCCCATCACTCTCTCGCTCCTCCTTTCTCTCCGTTCTTTCCTCCAGCCGTTCCTGGGCAGCAGTGACAGTGTCAATGAGATCTCTGGAAAGATCAAGCTGGGGAAGGAGGTGTTAGCTACGCTAGAAGGACACTGGGTAAGACACACAATGTGCAACATGCAGGGTTCAGCTCATGTTACATACAGATCCTTTATCTCTTTAAAAGCCCTTTGCTAATAGGGCAGTTATTCCAGACAGCCTTGTAATAAAAATACCTAAAAATATTTGCCCAAGTGTAAATTAGACTTTCTCAATAAATTGTATTTGTTTTATGTGTTGTGATTGTATTAAACTTCCTATGTTGATGTTCAGCAAAATTTGTTAAGTTAAAATTGTTAAGCTTCCTATAAACCATGTGTCTCTGTGTCTTCGTCTGTTTCAGTGAAGCTGTAAAATTATACAAAATAGTGTCAGCCTGGTTATGAACCAAATTAATATTTAATGCAGATAAAAGCTTCACTGTGCTCTAGTTTGTATCTGGCGCTGTCTTTTGGCAAGTAAAGAGACCTTTTTCTTTTTACTTTGCTCCCACAGGACAGTGAGATCTTTATTAACGACAAGAAGACAGGGACGGTGGACACTTTCTGGAACCCGACACCGGAGCTGAGGCAGAGCCGACTGACCCGCTGCACCGTCCCCCCAGAGGAGCAAGGAGAGCTCGAATCAGAAAGGTGGATTTGACTTTACTCTTATCAGCAGAACAGTCTGCAAAGTTCTGTTCTCACACTTGCCACATTGTGAAAAAGTTTGGAATAAAGATGAAGTTTTATTTTTACCAATTGATGCATTGTATTGTTTTGTACCTGTGTCTTATTTATTGGCTTTTATTGTCCCAGATTCACCTTAGTCACTCTTAGGCATCTTGATATATTTTCTATTACTCTTCTGACTTTGTTCCCTCCCAACTCATCAGGCTGTGGCAGCACGTGACCCGGGCCATCACCAACAAGGACCAGACCGAGGCCACCAACGAGAAGTTCATCCTGGAGGAGGTTCAGAGGAAGTCCGCCCGCGAGCGAAAGGCCAAGTGTGAGGAGTGGAACCCCGCCCTGTTCGAGCAGGACCCCGTCACCGGAGAGTGGCATTACAGATATGCCGAGTGAGTAAAACCAGACACAGAGTACAGTAACAAAAATAATATAAGTCATATTTACTTCCTGAAACAAACAAACAAACTGAAAAGAACTTAAACAGCTACTTATGGGTGCCATTGCTAACTAATTATTCATTAATGATGAATGTAGAATGTGTTAACACCTAAGTACTATAGTATACTACTTATAAATGCATTATCAGCAACAAAGGACAATGCTTACAGTACTAACAATTATAGCCCGACTGATGCTGGATTTTTTAGGCTAATACTGATTGTAAAAATCTGACAATGATATAGCAGCCTATATTTGTTTCTTTACATAAACAGTTTGAAAAAGATCTCTTAAATGTAGTTTCTAAACAATTGTGACGAAGAAACAATATATAGTGAGGACAGTGTAAATTCTAACTTTATTTGTATAGCACTTCACTTCAAAAACAAGTTACTAAGTGCTTTACAAAGGCATAAAAACAAGAGGAATTAACAGGTATAATGAAGTAGAATAGATACAGTAATAAAGACAAACTAGGTATTAATTACTAAACACAATAAAATGTATAAGAGAATTAAAAGAAGAGACAGAGCTGGCCTGTCTGATCTCCAGCAGGTTGTTCCAGAGCTGTGGTGCCCTGAGTCCAAAGGCTCCATACCCTCTGGTTTGTAGCCTTGACTCAGGAATTACTCATAGACCTCTGCCAGAGGATCTCAGGCAGCATTCAGGCTTATAAGTGGTTAGTTAGCCAGTGATACAATCAGTGGCCAACCCCAAATTTGTTTTAAATGCAATCATCAAATTTTTTTTGAATCAATTCAAGCCACTGTAGAGATGCTAATATAGGCGTTGTGTGGGCTCTTCTGTTGGATTTCGTGATTGAAAATGGACACAGTGTAATGGAAACACTTTTTCTAAATTACCACATTGTACTGCAATTTCCTATTTCTTATTGGTGGGCATTATGTGCCATGTGACAGGGTGCCATCTAGTGCCCATCCTCTATAACTGCAGGGGTGATGGCCAACCTGTTATCAGACTATACTTCTAAGAACAGCTTTTAATATATTGTATGATAGACAGGAAGGGTTTTTACTGGTAAACAGTGTCGGTATTGTGCAGTTATATCAGGTGAAATGTTGTGGAGGGCGCTGACGATCTCCCCACTGTTTTTATTTGTTGTCTGTCTGTCATTTTCCCTTTGTGTCTTTATCTGCCTCTCTATGTAACATTTCCCTTTCTCTCTTTCATTCATGTATTTCTTTGTCTCTGTTATCTTTTTCTATTGTCCTATGCTCCCCCCATGTGTCCGTCTCACTATTTTTCTTTCTCCACGTCTCCTCATCTCGCCCTGTGTGTGTCTCGGCCCCCTCCCCAGCACGAGGCCATGGGATCCGCTCAACGACCTGATCCAGTTTGAGAAAGACGGCTGTATCCAGACCAAGGTCCGACACCGCACCCCTATGGTACGTTCTGGCAGTCTTATTAGTCTGAGTAACCAGGGGCCGCGGAGGGACAATTGCAAGTGCCAGGTAGGTCGCCCCGATCGAAAACCGCCATTAAAAAACAAAAAACGCAGCTCGCCGCCTCAGCCACCTTCCACGCAGCACTCGGTGTACCGTCTTCATTGTCGCTTCTTCTCTTTGTGTCGTCGCCACTGTTCCGCCATCGCCGTTGTCGCCGCTGCTCCTTTTTTCTTTTTTTCTTTCTCTTTGTCTCTGTTTTTTCTTTTCCTACCCTGGCACCTGCTGTTCTCTCTGTATGGGAGGGAAGGGTCTCCATTGACATGGAGAACTTCCTTTTCTCGCCTTGTCAAAAAGAAAAGGATCGTTTGACATGAAGGACGACATTTGTTATACAGGCCTTTGGAAATATTGTCTTCCTGCAGACTGACTTATTTTTTGCTCTTGTAATTTACCACCTATTGACACCTTGTAGATTATGAACTGAATTTATTTGTACATGAACATTACTTTACCATCATTGATTTTGCCATTTCCTTCAATAAAATGTCTTCTTTCTTTTAGCAGTTTTTACTACCCTAATCTTACAGTGAAAGTTGAGGCAGCATCTAAAGCTGCATATTCCCAATGTGAAATGTAACAAAGTGATAATAAACCCATGTTGGGGTTTAAATACTATTCCTTAAAGTTTGTTGCAAAGGCTCTAATTTCTTTTTTGCACTTAATTTAGTTTTCCCCCATACAAAGTGTAAATGAGAGAACAGCTCCAACCATCACATCAACAGAGCAACCACTGCCGTCGACGCCTGGTTGCTTCAGGATGTCCGCCACACCCTCCTCACCCTCCACCTGTCCTCATCTTCATGTTTGTTTCTGTGTGTGTGTTCGCTCACTAAGTCTCAACTTCTACTAAGCTGCTCCTTGTTCAGGTTATGTTGAGAAACTAAAGGCTGCTGTGGTGCAGTCGCTGTAACTGCTGCTCGTGTGTTCGGATTCTGTGTGTGTGTTCTAGGCCTGGGCGATAAATCAATAGCAATATATATCACAACAGACACTAACGAATACCCCCTGGCTTATAAACATCATCATATCCCTTGTAATAGAGCGTGCTATAAGTGAATTACCATAGTCGCTTCCATCATTTGTCATCCATCACAACCAGTGCCTGAAATGGGCCAATACTTACCAGTAGTGACGACTGGCACAGAATCCACTCAACATGGTGGATTCTGTAAAAGAGGACCCACTTCCTCTGTAGATAAAAACGGCTCATTCTAAGGTAACAAAAACAATTTTTATATTCAGGTGATTTTACACTAATGGAAACAATTTTCATTTCTGCCAATAGATCCTCCTCAATGTTACACAATGGGCCGACCTTTAGGTATATTAAATTCAACCTTTTTCACCTGGTCTTTATTAAGAATAGTATATAGAATAATTATCAATATTGACAGAAATGAAATATTTAATCGTGGTATATTAAAAATCGCCCAGCCCTAGTTGGTTCAAAGTAACCACCTGCCAAGTCCCTGAGCTAGTGTCTGGTTAATGTATCCGTATCTGTCTATTTGGTTTAGCTTTTATAAGGTAGAAATTTAATTTTTGGTTGGTAAAAC